GCCTGGTGCTGCTCCTGGCATACCCTCCTGCACTCTCCATTGAACCAGCGTTGATCCCCTGCCTTGATGGTAATGGTTGAGTGGGGGATGTGCCGGGCCATGAGGTTACAGATTGTGCTGGAGTACAATTCTGCTGCTGTTGATGGCCCACAGCGCCTCATGGATGCCCAGTCTTGAATTGCTAGATCTGTGTGAAGTCTGTCCCATTGAGCACGGTGATAGTGCCACAGAACACGATGTAGGATATTCTCAATGTGAAGGCGGGACTTTGTCTCCACAAGGACTGTGAGGGATGGTCACTGTTACCGATACTGTCATGGACAGATCCATCTGCAGCTGGCGGATTGGTAAGGATGAGGTCAATATGTTTTTCCCTCTTGTTGGTTCCCTCACCACCTGCCGCAGATCCAGTCTAGCAGCTATGTCCTTTAGGACCCGACCAACTTGATCAGCAGTGCTACTGCCGAGCCACTCTTGGCGGTGGACATTGAAATCCCCCACCCAGAGTACATTTTTTGCCCTTGCCACCCTCAGTGCTTCCTCGAAGTGTTGTTCAACATGGAGGAATACTGATTTATCAGCTGAGGGAGGGCAGTATGTGGTAATCAGCAGGAGATTTCCTTGCCCATGTTTAACCTGAAGCCATGAGACTTCATGGGGTCCGGAGTCAACGTTGAGGACTCTCAGAGCAACACCCTCCCGACTGTATCCCACTGTGCCGCCCCCTCTGCTGGGTCTGTCCTGCCGATGGGACAGGACATATCCAGGGACGGTGATGGTGGTGTCTGGGACATTATCTTATGAAGCCAGATTTAGCAGTTTCGCCCTTTACTTTTTGAAGTTTAGACGAATGAGAAGGGATCTTATTGACGTATGGAAGAAGGTAAAGGGATTGACGAAAGACGTAGAGAGGATGTTTCCTTGTGTGGAGTAACAGAGAAGGAGAGGCCTCCATTTTAGGATAAGGGGCAGCAGATTTAAAGCAGAGATGAGGAGAAATTACTTCTCTCAAATGGTAGTGGACCTGTGGAATTCAATATTTAAGAGTTTGCAGTGGTGCTGGGACAGTGAGTAAACTTAAGGAGGAACTAGGCAGATTTTTTAATTAGTAATGGGTTGAAAGGTTAAGGATAGTGTCTTACAGCTTGGAAACAGACCCTTTGGCCCAATTCATCCATGCTGACCAGGTTTCCTAAGCTAAACTAGACCCATTTGCCTGCATTTGGCCCATATCCCTCTAAACCTTTCCTATCCATATACCTGTCCAAATATCTTTTAAATGTTGTAATTGATAGCGGGCAAGAAAGTGGAGTAGAAACCGAGGTGAGATCAGCCATGATCATATCAAATGGTGTTAGGTGTGAATCCAAATCATTAAAAACTAAAATCGGAGACAAAGAAAAATAATTCTGAAGCTGCTTTCCAATCAGATATTTCCACCATTTCCACAGAATGATCCGTTGGAACCAACAGAGGGGAGGAAACAGAATACTGAGGGAACTGAAGGATGAACTTTGTGAGAAGCTCAATGTGTTAAGGGGAAGTGAAAGTTCCTGAACCCTGTGGATTATTGCTCATTGCATTGAGTGTGCAATACATTGGTGAATTGTCTGGCTTGCCTCCGACTCAATAATCCGGAGGCAACGTTCCCCGGAGCCAACGTTCCCCGGAGCCTGGGTTTTCCGACAGCGAGGGAGATTAGCCTGTCACCTTCCAACAGATCCCCAAACCCAGCCCCCATAATACTGAGGTGGGATCATGCTGAAATTAACAGACCACTCCCCCCCTCCAAAAGGTGAACAAGTAACTGATGGCTAAGGGAGCTTGTTTAAAGGACATTGGACTCTCGTGTTACACTTCCTGACGACATAAGATGTTTGGTGAGAGTGACCTGCCCTATTGATTCAAAGTGTTCAAAATAGTGGGAAGGAAGAGGGGGGGTGCCTTTGCCCTCCCCACAGTATTGAACATGCACCCCCTTGGCTAAAGCCCCAAGTGGGACCCTCCCTTCAAGCCCCTGCGCCAGCCTGCAGTACCAGCAGCAACCACTAGGGAGCACTCTGGGACAGTTGGTGCCACCAACAAATTGGATCATCTCCTGAGGGCAGGATCCTCTCCCACAATTCCCAGCAGGAGCTCATGTAGGTCAGGAGTCACTTCCAGGCAAGATTCCCTGCTGTGGTGAGATTACAGCCCAGGTCCACATTACCTGGGTCACAGGATCAATGATCTAGCAAGGATACCAATGGGCCATCGCTGCTCTGTACAATTCCACTCCCTGCTAGGGAGGTCCCCAGCACATTTACCTGAGCCTTGTGGTGTGCCACCTGAGACAGGGGCGTGGGGAACCTGCTAACATACCTCACACCCAGTGTGCCACCATCAGCAAGTTCAGAAATATTGTCATTGCTCCCAACATTTAAATCATTGCCCAGAGTGTAATTAGCTGTGGACTCAGTCCCACTCATCCCCACGAGTAACAACCCATTATCCTGAGAATGGCCTGTTTATTCCTCCTCTCTGTTTTTTTTATCTGTTCAACAATCCTTAATCCATACCTGTCTATTTCCCCCAATCCCACGCTCGCTAGTTTCATTTACTAATCTCCAGCGTCACACCTTCTGAAGATCCATATACACCACGTTCCTTGATTTCCATTTAATAATAATGCAAGTAATATCCTCAAAATCTCCAACATGTTTGTCAAGTGTTATTCCCATAAGACTACAAAACATAGGAGCAGCAGTAGGCCATTCAGCACATCGAATCTGCACCACCATTCAACGAGATCATGGCTGATTTCCTAATGCTCGACTCCACTTTCCTGCCTTTTCTCCCTATCCCTTGATTCCCTTCCTGATTAAAAATCTGTCTGTCTCAGCCTGGAATATACTCAATGACCCAGCCCCAACTGCTCTCTGTGGTATGGAGTTCCACACATTCACTCCCCTCTGAGAGAAGATATTCCTTCTCATCGCTGTCTAAAATGTCTGACCCTTATTCAGAGATGATACCCTCTGGTCTTAGACCTTCCCACAAGGGAAACAATCTTCCTGTGTCTCCCCCGTCAAACCCCCTAAGAATCTTGTATGTTTCAATAAGGTCACCTCTCTTTCTTCTAAACTCCTAACCTACACAACCTCACTTCATCAGACAGTCCCTCCACACTCAGGATCAGCAGAATGAACCTTCTCTGGACTTTCTCCAATGTCAGTCTATCCTCCTTAGATAAGAGGACCAGAAATGTTCTGACCAAGTTTGCCTTTCTGATGAAGAGGGCTATAGTTCTCCGTTGTCCCTCTTCCTCGCTTGTCAAACAGTGGGGTCACAGTTGCTTCTTTCCAATCCTTGGTAACAATTTCAGGTTCTGTAGAATTTTGAAAGATAACCAGCAAAGCAAACAGTAAAGCAGAGGGGGTGGGATCCTCGACAGCAGGGAGGCAGGTGTGAGGCTGGAAGGAGATACAGTAATCAGAAATAGCAAGTTGAAGAGACAGGTCAGGCTGGAACAGGACAGGGAGCAAGGAAAGCCTGTTGGATTAAATTGCATCTACTTCAATGCAAGATGGTTAACAGGTAGGGTTGATGAACTCAGGACGTGGATAGGTACGTGGGACTAAACTGAAGAGATGAAAGGATGTAGGACAGATAACAAAGACGGGCTACATGAGAATGAAACCAGAAGGCACAAACATCCCCCACTTCTATGGACTTCCTAAAGTACGCAAACCAGACATCCCTCTCAGACCTATTGTCTCCCTACTGGACACACCTTCACACAAACTGGCCAAGGACCTACAGAGACTGAAACACCGAGTAGATGGATCACTCTACTCCATCCACTCAACACAGGAATTCCTCCATACCCTCAAGAACATAAAAATCTGTGACAATGAGATTATGGTATCCTTTGACGTCACAGCATTATTCACATCAGTTGACATCCCACTAGCCAAAGAAACACTGACCACATTATGAGAGGAAGCAGGGACACAGACCAGCAGCTCCATCAGTAGGGACAACATACTCAAACTACGAGACCTGTGCCTCACCACACACTTTGTCTTTAATGGTCAGATATACAAACAGATCACCGGTCCACCAATGGGGTCACTCATCTCAGGGCTCATCGCAGAAGCAGTCATGCAAAGACTAGAACACACCACCCTCCCCCGCATTCAACCTAAACTGGATCTGGTACAGAGACGATACATTTGTCATTATTAAACGCAACAAACTAGAAGAGACCCACCACCTCATCAACAGTGTATTCGCTGGGATTAAATTAAACAGGGAAGAAGAATACAACAATCAGCTTCCATTTCTGGATGTCAAAGTTGAGCGTATGACCAGCAGGGAGTTCCAAACCTCAGTATATAGAAATGCAACCCATACAGATCAAATCCTCAACTTCCACAGCGACCACCCCAACGTCCCCAAACAAAGCTGCATTAGGACACTATTTAAATGGGCCAGGACACTCTGCAACACCCCAGAACTACGCCGGGAAGAGGAAGAACACTTTATACAAGATCCTCACTTTAAAGGGATATCCCCGCAACTTCATCCACAGATACCTACATAACAGGAGGGACACAGTACGCCCTAACACACCGACCACACTTCCCTACATCAGGAACATATTGGAATTGACAACAAGGCTCCTAAAACCACTAGGAATCACAGTGACCTACAAGCCCACAGCCACTCTACGACAAACACTCACAAGGATTAAAGACCCCATTCCCACAACATGCAGAACCAACGTGGTTTACAAAATACCCTGCACTGACTGCCACAAACATTCCATCGGACAGACAGGAAGGAAACTAGCCATCAGAATACATGAACATAAGCTAGCAGTAAAATGGCATGATGAACTCTCCTTAATATCGGTACATTCAGACAATGAAGGCCATCAGTTTAACTGGGACAAGGTAACCATAGTAGCCAGGGCCAAACATAGACATGCACGGGAATTCCTAGAGGCATGGGTCTTAACCCATAAGGCAATTAACAAACATATAGAATTGGACTCCACATACAAACCCATACAGATCAAAACCGGAAATGACACTACTCACCATAACGGACCAGACAGTATAAATTCCCAGCGGGGTAGAATAACATCGCTTCATCGGAGTCTCCACTGATGATGGTGACAAAACGTCTGAACGAAAACAAAGCAGCTCGGGGAGCAAGTCAACAACTTCACATAGGACTGGGATATTATAGCCATTACAGAAACATGGCTAAGGGAGGGACAGGACTGGCAGCTTAATGTGCCAGGGTACAGGTTCTTTAGGCGGGACAGAGATAGAAGAAAGACGGGAGGGGGAGTTGCATTTTTGATTAAGGGGAGTATCACAGTAGTAGTCAGAAAGAACTGAGGGATCATCCTTTGTGGGTGGCACTAAGAAATAAGAAGGGGATGGTGGCGTTATTGGGGTCGGACTATAGGTCCCCAAACAGTCGACGGGAAATAGAGAAACAAATATGCAGGGAGACTGGGGAGACTTACAGGAGCAATAGGCTTGTCACAGTGGGGGATTTAATTTTCCTAACACACACTGGGACTGACAAAGTGTTAAGGGCTTAGATGGGGTGGAATTTGTTAAATGTGTTCAGGAAAGTTTCCTTAAGCAGTATATAGAGGGTCTTACTCGGGAAGGGGCAACACACAAGCTACTGTTGGGAAGTAGGGCAGGACAGTGGGAAAGCACTTTGGGACCAGTGACCATAGTTCTATTAATTTTAAAATAGTTATGGAAAAGGACAAAACTGGTCCACAGGCTCAAGTTCTAAACTGGGGCAAGATGAATTTTGATGGAATTAGACAGGAGCTTGCAGGGGTTGGTTGGAGCAGTTTGTTTGCAGGCAAAAGGACCTCAGGCAAGTGGGAGGCCTTTAAGAGTGTGATAACTAGAGTTTGAGGTCTATAAGCTCCTGTGAGGGTGAAGGGCAAGGTTGGCAGGATTAGGGAACCCTGGATGACAAGAGATAAAAGGAGAAGGCATGGTTTAGGTACAGGCAGCTGGGATCAAGGGAATCCCTGGAGATATATAGGGAATACAGGAGTTTACTGAAGAGGGAAATCAGGAGAGTGAAAATGTAGCACTAGATAGATTTGGATGAGAAGATTAGGTTGAATCCAAAAAGATTCTTTAAGTATATTAAAGGAAAAAGAATAACTAGAGAGAGAATAGGACCCCTCAAGGACCAAAGGGGACATGTATGTGTGGAACCGCAGGAGATGGGTGAGGTCCTCAATGAATATTTCTCCTCTGTGTTTACCATGGAGAAGGACATGAAGACTTGGGAACTTGGGAACAGTCTATATCACAGTACAGGTGGTGTTGGAAGTACCGGAAATGTACAAAGGTGGATAAATCTCCTGGTCCTGACCAGATATATCCAAGAACTCTTGCAAGAGGCTAGAAAAGAAATTGTGGTGGCCCTGGAAATATATTTGCATCATCTTTAGCCACAGGTGAAGTCCCGGAAGACTGGAGGTGGCGAATGTTGTGCCCTTATTCAAGAAGGACTGCAAAGAAAAACCCTGGGAATTATTGACCAGTAAGCTTAACATCTGTGGTTGGTAAGTTACTTGAGAAGATTCTGAGGGAAAAGATATACACGCATTTGGAAAGACAGGGTTTGATTTGGCTTTGTGCGTGGGAGATCATGCCTCACAATTTTGTTACAATTCTTTGATGAAGTGACCAGGAAGGTTGATGAGGGCAGGGCAGTAGACATGGCCTATATGGATTTCAGTAAAGCCTTTAATAAGGTTCCACATGGTAGGCTGCTCTGAAAGGTTAAATCACATGGAATCCAGGGAGAGCTGGCAAATTGGGTACACAATTGGCTTAATGATAGGAAGCAGAGGGTAACAGTGGAAGGATGCTGGTCAAACTGGAGGCCTGTGACTCGTGGTGTGCCTCAGGCGTCAGTGCTGGGCCCATTGCTGTTTGTTATCTTTATTAATGATTTGGATGAGAATGTACAAGGCATGATTAGTAAGTTTACAGATGACACTAAAGTAGGCGGTATCGTGGACAGTGAGGAAGGTTATCAGAAATTGCAGCAGGGTCTTGATCAGCTGGGGAGGTGGGCTGAGAAATGGCAAATGGAGATTAATATAGATAAGTGTGAGGTGTTGCATTTTGGAAAGTCAAATCAAGTTAGGAGTTTCATGGTGAATGGTAGGGCCTTAAGGAGTGTAGTGGAACAGAGGGACCTTGGAGTTCAGGAGTACGGTTCTCTGAAAGTGGAGTCACAGATAGACAGGGCAGTGAAGAAGGCTTTTGGCACACTGGCCTTCATCAGTCAGGGTATTGAATATATAAGGTAGGAGTTACGTTGGAGTTGTACAGGATGTTGGTGAGGCCGCACTGGGAGTATTGTGTTCAGTTTTGGTCACCTTTGCTATAGGAAGGATGTTATTAAACTGGAAAGAGTGCAGAAAAAATTTACAAGGTTGTTGCCAAGGCTGAAGGGACTGAGTTATAGGGAGTGGTTGGACAAGTTGGGACTTTTTTCATTAGAGTGTAGGAGACTGAGGGGGGGATCTTATAGAAGTGAATAAGATCATGAGAGGCATGGATAGGGTGAATACACTCAGTCTTTTTCCCAGATTTGGGAATCGAGGACTAGAGGGCATCAGTTTAAGGAAAGAGGGGAAAGAATATATGGGAGCCTGAGGGGCAACTTTTTTACACAGAGGGTGGTACGCAAATGGAATAAGCTGCCAGTGGAAGCAGTTGAGGCGGGTACATTAACAACATTTTAAAGGCATTTGAACAAATACATGGAAAGGAAAGGTTTAGAAGGGCATGGGCCAAGTGCAGGGAAATGGGGTTACCATGGATGGACATTTTGTTCAGCATGAACCAGTTTGGGCTGAAGGGCCTGTCTCCGTGCTGTAGGACTCTATGACTCTATGAGTAATTCACTATCTTTCAAGCCAACTCCTTCAATGCTGGGATGTAGCTCACCTAGTTCAGAGGATTTATCACTCTTGACCAAGATAACTTTTCGAGTATTACCTCATGGTGAACTTCTATTCGTTGCTCTGTTTTACGAGTCCTTTCATTGTTGAGGATTTGTTGGAGATTTTCTGCCTCTTCTTCCATGAATACAGACACAAAGGAACTATTGAGCTTCTCCACCACTTCCCTGTTCTTCATCGTAAATTCTCCTGTTCTGACCTGTAATGGGACCACATTTGTCCTAGTCCATCTTTTCCTTTCAACATCCCTAGGGAAGTATTTGTTCAGTCCATCTTCATGTTCCTCATAGGTTTTGTTCATATTTACTTTCTTGGCCATCATTTGCTGCATTTTAAATAGCTCCCAGTCCTCAGGCTTGCTAATGCTGACATTCTAATCAGTCACTTTCTTGGATATAATGCAATATTTAACTTCTTTCATTAGCTACAGTTGATTCACCTTTCCCTTTGGATGTTCAAGTCTGGTATGATCCTTCTTCAGAACTGAAGAACTTTGAAACTCCATTTGAAGAAGAGTCATAGAGTCATGCAGCACAGAAACAGACCGAATGGGCCAATTTATCCATGCCAACCAGGCTCCCAAACTAAACTAGTCTCAGGCTGTAGACTTGCTCACTGGGCCGATGTGTTTGATTGCAGACGTTTCGTCATCCTGCTGGGTAACATCGTCAGTGTGCCTCTGGTGAAGCGTTGGTATTCTGTCCTGTTTGTTAGTTATATGTCTTGGTTTGCTGGGGTGGTTGGCATCACTTCCGGCTCTGTTTCTCTCCCACCCCCCAACCCCTCCCCACCCCACACCCCGCACAACACCAACAGCATCAACAAGGACAGCACCCTGAAACTGCTGGATCTGTGCCTCACAACCCACTTCACCTTCAACGGCCGTATATTCAACCAAATCAACGGAACACCAATGGGATCCCCAAGATCAGGATTGATTGCAGATGCAGTAATGCAAAGGTTAGGAACAAAAACAGATGCTGCCAGACCTGCTGAGCTTTTCCAGCAACTTTGTTTTTGTTCCTGATTTACAGCATCCGCAGTTCTTTCGGATTTTATTATGCAAAGGTTAGAACTGACAGCACTCCCCACTATACACCCCAAACTCTGGGTCCGATATGTAGATGACACCTTCGTGATTATCAAACACACAAGACTAGAAGAAACCCACCGACACATAAACAACAAATCTCACCAGCATAAAATTCACAAAAGAAGGAGAGAACAATAACAGACTACCCTTCCTAGACATAACAGCGGAACGTAAGAACAACGGGGAACTCCAGACTAGCGTATGCAGAAAGACCACACAAACAGACCAGATACTTAATTACTCCAGCAACCATCCCAACAACCATAAACAGAGCTGCATCAGGACATTATTTGAATGAGCCACAACACACTGCAGCAACTTGGAATTGCGCAAAGCGGAACAGGAGCACTTATACAGAGTTTTTAAAAGGAATGGATACCCAAAAAGCACAAGCAGCCATTACCTCTGCGACAGACCACAACAAGAAGACACAACACGGCCAGACTCACTAATCACCCTACTGTACATCAAGGACATATCAGAGATGACCACAAGGCTACTCAGACCCCTCGGTATCAGGGTAGCCCACAAACCAACAATCACCCTGCAACAGCTACTGCCAAATGTAAAGGATCCCATACCCACAACCAATAAAACTAACATAATATACAAAATGCCACGCAAGGACTGAGAGAAACATTACACAGGCCAAACTGGAAGAAAACTGACAATAAGGATACGCAAACACCAACTAGACACTAAGAGACATGACCAGTTCTCACTGGTCTCAATATACACGGACAAAGAAGGACAGGAATTTGACTGGGACAACACATCGATAATAGCACAGTCAAACAGAGACATGCCAGGGAATTCCCGGAGGCCTGGCATTCCAACTGGGACTCCATCAACAAACACACTGAACTGGACCCGATATAGAAACCACTGAGAAACAGAACCGGAAGTGATGCCAACCACCCCAGCAAACCGAGGCACATAAATAACAAGCAGGACAGAACACCAACGCTTCATCTGAGGCGCACTGTCCATGTTACCGAGCAGGGTGACAAAACGTCTACAACCAAACCCATCGGCTCCGCGAGCAAGTCTACAACCTCATCCACAACCCAAGCTACAAACCTTCTACAAATTTAAAACTAGTCGCATTTGCCTGCGTTTGGCCCTAAACCTTTCTTATCCATGTACCTGTCCAAATGTCTTTTAAATGTAACTGTACCTGCATATTTGACTTCCTCTGGCAGTTCATTCCACATACAAACCAACCCATGTGTGAAAAAAATTGCCCCTCAGGTCCCTTTTAAATCTTACTCCTCTCACCTTAAACCTATACCTTGTGGTTTTAAACTCCTCTGCCCTGGGGAAAAGACCTTGGCAATTCACATCATCAATGCCTTTCATGATTTCTACACCGCTACAAGGTCACTTCTCAGCCTCCTACACTCGAGGGAAAAAAGTCCCAGGCTACCCAGCCTTTCCTTATATCTCAAACCCTCCAGTCCTGGCAACATCCTGGTAAATCTTTTCTGAACCCTCTCCAGCTTAATAACATCCTTCCTTTATCAGGGTGACCAGAACTGCACACAGTATTCCAAAAGTGGCCTCATCAGTGCCCTGTACAGCCACAACATGACCTCCAAACTCTATATACTCAACGTTCTGACCAATGAAGGCAAGCATACCCAATGCCTTCTTCACCGTCCTGTCTACCTGCAACTCCACCTTCAAGGAACTATGCACCTGAATACCCAGGTCTACCTGCTGAGTATCTCCAGAAACAGAAAAGGTAGAAGGCATTGGTGGGAGATGTTCACAGAGTGCCACACACTGGTGATAATAAAAATAACAAGATATGACGGGTGTATGTAACAAGGTTGACACAATATCCATAGGGTATCCTCACCGTCATGGAGGATAAATCCTTGGAATGTATACGGGATGGTTTTCTAGGGCAGTACGTTGAGAAACCAGCTGGAGAGTAGGATAGTTTGGATTCAGTATTATGCAATGAAAAAGGGCGAAAATGAACATTTAGGAAAGAGCGAAGGTAGTATGAGAGAATTTTACATGACGTTTGTAGGTGGTGTGTAGCTCAATAAGAAACTAAAGTCCTCAATCTAAGTTTAGGAGTTTAGGAAGGCTCTGAGGGTTAAATCAGCTATGGGCAGATCCGCAACATATACAATGCCTCCTGTATGTTCCTCAGTGAGTCCAACGGAGGCTCCAACCAATCCATATGGTCTTAGAGGAGCTGTAGGTGGACACACCTCATGCAGACAGATGTCAGCGATATTTGACTTCTCCCTTATCTCCCAATCTTGCAGGTAGAGCAGACCACTGCACTAACTGCCATCACTACCCACCTCGAGCAGCTCTTGGATTAAAAGGAAAAGAAGCAAATTACCTTGCCATAACTTAATGTCACTCATCCTCCTCACGAACCCCAATGCTCACCAAAACCCACACTCTGACCTCACAGCTTCTCTCCAAAACGGCTGCTACCACAACAGCTTGCTTAAGGAAGAAGAAAGTTCTACCAGAATCATCCTCAGATACTTCTCACTACCGCTCTCTGTTGGATGCTCTTCCTCCTGTTAAGCACTAGTTCCTCCATGATGCCTTCAGTCATGGTGAGTGAGCTGACTTCTCTCAGAATCCTCACTAACACCCTCTGTTTGTAATGTTCCAACTGTGTCTAAGGAAAGAAATCAAGGAGAGATTTATAAATTGGCAAAAATAGTAACTCTGAGGACGGGAAGTCTTTTCGATTCTGCAAAGAAGGACCAAGAAAAAACTAAAGGAAGGGCAATAGAATAAAAGGATTAGCTAAAGAGAACTGCAACAGATTCTATATGTGTGAAAAGGAAAAGACTGGCAAAGAAACAAATGGGGGACAATTACAGGTGGCAGTCAGGAGAATTTATAATGGACAATATGGAAATGGCAGACAAATACTTTGTATGTGGAAAATTCTAAAAACCTCCGGTAGATAATGAAGGCTCAAGGGACTAATGCAAACAAGAAACTGCAAGTTATTGAGATAATAGAAAATATTACAAGAGAAATTAATGAGACTGAAAGTAAATAAATCCTGTGGAGCAGATGATCTACATCACAGTGAGTGGCCTGAGCTGGCAGCAGACATAGTACATCCTGAATTTTTTGGGGTCTGGAATGATTCCTGCAGAAAGTTAAAAATGTGACTGGGCTATTTAAGAAAGGAGGGAAAGGAAAAACCAGAAACATGGACACATTAGCCTAACATCGATTATTAGGAAAAATCTATAATTGACAACAAAGTGTTGTCCGAAAGCACACTTCAAAATAATGGTAAGATTGAGCAGGGTCAGGATAGATTTCTGAAAAGTAAATCATCTTTAACAAAATGGGTAGAGTTTTGTTTGAAGATGCAGTTTGCAGAATAGATAAAGGGAAACTGATGGATTTGCTACATATAGATTTTCAGAAAGCTTTTGATAATGTCCCACGCAGGAGGTTAGTAAACAAGATTGGAGCATGTGGGATTGAGAACTGCCTAATGGAGAGAAAACACAGTATCAGAATGAAGATGTCATTTCCAGGTTGACAGGATCTGACCAATGGGGTTCTGCAAGGATCAGAGCTTGGATCTCAGCTATTCACAATCTGTAGCAATGTTTGGATGTGGGGATTAAATGTAATATTCACAAGTTTACAGATGACTAGGTGGAAATATGAGTTGTGAGGAGGTTGCAAAGATATTTCAAGGTGATTTGTCGAAGGTCAGTGAGTGACAAAGATTTGGGAAATGGGCTACAATGTGGTGAAATGTGAGGTTGCCCACTTTGATAGGAAAAACAGAAATATAGAGTAGTTCTGAAAGAGTGAGAAGCTAGGAAGTGTCAAACTTGAAAGAGACTTTAGTGTCCATGTTTAGACATTACTGCAAGTGAACCTTCAGGTACAGCAAATAATGATAAAGGTAAATGGTGCATTGGCCTTTATTCTCAGAGGATTGGAGTATAAGTGTAATAGTATTTCATTTGTGGCTGCATGGAGCCTTGGTGAGTATACCTGGATTATTCATAGAATCCCTACAGTGTGGAAGCAGGCCATTTGGCCCATCAATTCCACACTGACCCTCCAGA